AATAGAAAGAAATTAGCTGGACAACTAAAAATATGTAGAAAAAATTAGCTGGGCATGGTGGCGCATGCCTGTAGTCCCAGCTACTTAGGAGGCTGAGGCAGAAGGATTGCTTGAGCCCAGGAGTCTGAGGTTGCTGTGAGCTAGGCTGATGCCACGGCACTCAGGCAATGGAGTGAGACTCTGTCTCAAAAAAAAAATAAAATAAATAAATTAATTAATTAATTAAAAATAAAAAAATAAAAATAAATAAAATGCTTTTCCTACAATAACCCTTTCAACTCTCACTACAACCCTGTGAAATAAGTATAATACTATTATTAATAGTATGCTAATTTTACTGATGGAGAAACTGCGGTTCAGAGAGGTTAGATGACTTGCCAAGGTCACACAGCTACTAAGTAGCAGCGCCGGGAGTTAAACCCGGGCAGCCTGGTTCAGAACCACCACACTAAGTTGCCTGCTGCTATGGAATTTTGTGGAACATGCTGCTACCAACTCTGTAGCATAGACTATATTCTGTAGATGTAACATCCTTTCTTCACCCATCCCTTCCATTGTGTTGGGGTGAGGCTGTTGTCAACAAGACTGTAGGACACTCACGATATAAACAATTGCGTACTGTGCTTTCGACAGTCTCCCAGACCAAATTTCTTGGTCAAAGGATGCAGGCAATTTTAAGTCTCTTGCTCCATGTTGTTCAATGGCTTTAGGAAAGCCTGCATCATTCATAAACCTGCCATTAGAAGACAAAAACACATACTTTGCCAAGAACAAAGGTATAACAAGGAGACACTGATGTGTCATCCCAGACCCCAGGATGCTGTAGACTTAAAGTCTGCAAGCCACTTCAGCACACAAGAATTTTCTAGATAATGGTCTGAGAACCATTTCCGCAATTCCTGAGCCCCTCTGCCATTCTAGGCTTGAAGAGGAGTTAGAGTGTTATGCTAGCAAGGAGTTAGGGCGGAGATTTTCTTTGGAGAGAGCTGTTGCCTCACTGTGAATTCTTGCCCCACTGCCTTCCCCTCAAGCCTGTGGACATCTTTTTCATATGACCATGGGTCACAGGCAGTGGTGCTGCCTGCCACAGGAGCCCAGCCAGCCAGAGCCTGACCCCACCTAGCACAGTGGAGTGGGCCATAGCCCTGCTGGGGCAAGGCAAGGGATGTTGGAGGGTTGCCTGTGTAGATCCAGTAGGATAGGTGGCAGGGGCTCACCTTGGGTCTGTCTCAGGCCTTCCTTAGAGGAGTGTACAGCCCAGTCAGCATAACTGGGCAGTGAGTGCCACATTCCTTGGGACTGAGGAAGGGTCACAAGGATGAGAACTATGGGAGAAGCGTCCTAAGTAAAGGGCATTACTGAAGAATCCACAAAATTGACCAAGAGAGGAGTATGCTTTAACCATCTGCCAGGTCAGTAGAGCAAGAGGCTGTGGTCACGCAAGAAATAACCTGTTCCCCTGCCTTCCCCCTCCCCAGCACAGAAGTCCATCAGACCCCCTTCTCACAAAGGTGGGCCAGGACTCCAGACTGTGGCGGGAGACAGGGAAGGAACTGTCTTACCTTTGGTTGAAGACGGAACTACCCTCTTTCCTTCTACCCCCAACACTTAGCTGCTGTGGCTCCCAACTTCAAGCAGGGTCTTCCTTTGCCTGGCAAACTCCTCCTCATCCTTTACTTAGATGATTGGATCTTCCCACCACCCTGGGCTCACCAGGCACCCCTCTTGGCTCCCACATCTTGGTAGCTTCCAGGTCTGGCTCCCCCAATTGGACCATGAGCCTGTGAGGCAGTGGCCATGTTAACTTTCCATGCCTGGCTTGTAGCCCGCTGCTCCACCGTGGTCCTGGCCAATTCAGTGAGGATGTCCAAGGAGCGGCAAGGGAGAGGCTAGACTGGCAGAGGGGAGAAGAAAGGCCCAAGGCCCTTAAATCCACAGAGAGGAAATGTTGGCTGAGGGGCCAAGTGACCAGGTGTTCGGCTTCAATCTTAGCATCTACTGTGTGCTCAGAGCTTGACTCTCACAAGCTCCACTTTAAGCCATTGCACGGACGAGCACACTGGGCAGAGATTGCAGGCTGGTCAGTTTGTTTATAGCCAAGACTATCTAGGGTGACCTGTCGTCAAAGGCAGAGACAAGGCTGTGGGCGGGTCCAAAGCTGGTTACAACTCCTCACGTCCCAGTACCTGCTGGTAGGGATTAAGGGACAATAAAAGTGGGACTTCCTGGTGCTCACATACTGCAGACACAGCTATCATCTGGCATCTGCAGTGTTAACATCACTCCTGCCCATGGCTGGAGCTGGTCAGAGCATGAGGTGGACTCTGCGTGTGAGCCTCGCCCTCAGCCTGATGGTGCAGACAGCCCTAGGTAAGACCCCCAACCCTTCCTGACAGTGTCAGGCAAGGGGGGCACAAGGGACACAGGGACAGGCCTCTCTCACTGGACAGTGACTGCCACATTTTTGGGATTGAGGAAGGATGGGAACTGTGGGATAGGAGTCCCAAGTAAAGGGCATCTCTGATGAACCCACAAAATTGACCATGAGAAAAGGAGAGTGCTTTTGCCATCTGCCAGGCATGCAGAGCAAGAGGCTGTGGTCACATGAAAAGTGCCCTGTTCCCCCGCCTACCCTCTGCCCAGCACAGAAGCTCATCAGACCCCCTTTTCCCAAAGATGGGTCAGAGATGGGTCTCCCACTGTGGTGGGAGACAGTGGGGCGGAGGCACTTAGACAAGGTCTAGGCACAAGGAGGGCGGTATTTCAAGGCACTAATCTACCCACCAGCTGGGAGTCTGGACAAGTACTTTGGCCTCTCTGAGCCTCAAGGCTGCTCTGCAAAGTGGGGAGTATGTCTCCTGCCTCACAGGCCCAGGTGAGGGGATCCAAGAGCATGGCATGGCCACATCCTTCCTTCCTGCCCTCCGTCCCTCTTCCTTCCTTCCTTCTCCCAAGTAGGAGGCCTGCTTCTGCCTCCCTCTCCCCAACACGGACCTCTTAACTACCTGCAAACAACTCTCCAATGTCTTTCTTTTTAAAATTGGTATTATATTTTTTACTGTGAAAACAATATAACACATTAATACAAGTATATTGAGGTATAAGATGTATAGAGCAAGATGCACACATCTTCACTGTATAATTGCATATATTATATATCATATTTTATACATATTATATTATATATAAAGTAACCACCATGCAGAACAAGATCTAGAACTTTGCCAGCATCCCATTCACCCCTTCCCAGTCAATATCTCAAAGTTACCACTAGTCTGACCGCTATCATAAATGAGTTTTACTTATATACATTCATTTTTTTAAATTTAAGGGAAACTTTGCTAAAACTGCTTTTAGCATTTTGGTGCATTTTCTTTTTGTCTTTTTATTGCATATTTATATATAGCTGTAATATTAGAATGTACATAATTTTATACTCTGCTTTTTTCACTTAAGTTCTTATCAAAGGCAGTTTATAGTTTGAGTTTATAATTATATTTACTTTGCTTGGTCCCCAGATATAAATGATGCTTCCAGTATTTACCATGGTATAGATAACTATGGTTCAGAAAGGTCTTTGTTTTAATGTGTTTTGGCTATTTTCATAGGGAAGGGACCCAAAAGTGGAATTACTGAATCAAGGCATGTGAACTCTTTATGGCTGTTTATACATTTTGCTAAATTATCTTCCCAAGGTGTTGTATCAATCTATCCTCCATCAACAGTATATGAGAATGTCCTTTTCACTCTATCTCCATCAGAATTGGGTGCCACCATTTTTTATTAGGTGGAAGTTGTAACTGGTGGTTTTAATTAGCACTTGATGACTACTGGTAGAGCAGAATATTGTTTTCATAAGTGCTCACATGTTGCCTCTGGGTAGCACAGCTGGGATCTGGACCACTCCACAGGTGCCCTTGTTCTGGGGTCTAGAGCACTGTGACACATGGTTAGGTGCCCCCAGAGACTGGGGAGTGGTAGAAAAACATCACAGTTTACAGCAGAGCTCTGATGTGAGATACTTTCCATGTGACTTTGGGCAATTTACATAACCCCTTTGAGCTTCAGTTTCCACATTTGTATATTACTATAATAATAACATTTGCCCTATACGTTTTTTAGAAAAATGAGGTGAGATAATGTAAAGTGTGGGCACAGTGCGGCGCTATAATGAAGAACCAGTGAATTACAGTTGTTGACTATTCCATCATGAGTGGACCTGGATTCAGGGCAAATCCAGGTAATGTGACAGACCCTGGCCTCCTGGCCTCTGTCCTATGTGACCACAGGCTGGTCACTGTCCCTCTCTGGTTCTCTGGGCCTCCCCAGCTCCCCCTAGTGCCAGGGGGAAGCCGGTGTGAAAGGGCTGTACACACAGGGGAGGTTTGAGATGGCCCTTGCCCCTGCTGGCTGCCTCCATGCTTGAAGGGCCACCATTAAAGCCACCCTTTTGTGCCCAGATATTGCTTACATAAAACCTGTGGAGTCCTGGGGATGTGGGCAGAGAGGTATTTTTTTGGCTACCTGAAGCTCAGAGTGTGAGGGTATGCTCTATCACACTGATTCCAAATGCTATGCTAAAAACCAGTTGCATCAAAAGCTCCTGGAGAGGTTTGTAAATCTAATTTCCTGATGCAACCCTGAGATTCTCATCCAGAGAGTGTGGGGTAGAGCCTAGGAATCTGTACTTTTGCAATGATCCCCAGATGATTCTGATGCAAAGCCAGGTTCAGTAATTAGCTGGATCAGATGTGCTTTCTGTCACTTCACAGAATGAGCCCCAAAGGACTGGGGCACAGAACCATTCAGTTTTGATAAGGGAGGAAGGGGAGAAATGGACAAGGGCACTTCAGGAAGGGACAGTAGATGTGAGGCCTCAACAACTCTTCGCAATAGGAGTGGGGCAGGATGGGAACCTAGAAAAGGAAGAAAGAAGTACCCATAGGCAGAAAGTTGGATTCAACTTGACCTATTTCATATCTATTCCAAGAGCTGGCTATGGTATAAGTATCCTTGTACTCTGTGTGTGTGTGTGTGTGTGTGTGTGTGTGTGTGTGTGTAACATGTATGCTGTGAATGGATACATTGTAACCTATGTATAACTGTACTTGTATGCCTGTGTATGTGAGTTTATAGGCATGTACTTGATTATTCTATTTCTGCATATTTCCTTCTCTTTTTTTGGAGACAAGAGTCTCACTCTGTCACACCAGATAGAGTACAGTGGCATCATCATAGCTCACTGCAACCTCAAACTTCTGGGCTCAAGCAATCCTCCTACCTCAGCCTCCCAAGTAGCTGGGACTACAGGAGCCTGCCACTATACTCACTTAATTTTTTTTTCTGTTTTTAGTAGAGATGGGGTCTCGCTCTTGCTCAGGCTGGTCTCGAACTCCTGAGCGCAAGCAATCCTCCTGCCTCAGCCTCCCAGAGTGTTAGGATTATAGGCGTGAGCCACTGTGCCCAGTCCATATTTCCACATATTTCTTTATAGATGAGCTGGCTCATGTATGTCTATTATGTATAAATTTGCACATACAAGTATTGAAGCATATATGTATAAGAATCAAAATATATGTATGTGATTTCCTCCCAGAACTATGCCAGGCAAATGTTAGCAACAAGAAAAGAAGTGTAGCCATATTAATATCAGACAAAAAGAAATCAAAATAAATGACACATTTATTGACATTAAATGACACAGAAAAATGGCACATATAATATATATGAACTTCTATGTTTTTGATTTAAGATTTCAATGTGGCTTTGAAATCTTAAATCAAATAATGAAAGAAAAAAGTCTGAGAGAAACACAAGAAAAAGTAGGCAAATACACTATTGTTATGATCAATTGTTAGGGAAAGCAACAGCTTGTCCTCATGGCAGATGGGCCAGGGTCCCATCTATGGCTGAGTCACTGATTTGCTGAGCTGGGCTGAGCTTTCTCCCTTCTCTTCTCAGGTGCCTTGCACACCAAAAAGCCTCTAGTGGTCACCAAATATGGGACCCTCCAAGGAAAACAGATGCACATGGGGAAGATGCCCATCCATGTCTTCCTTGGAGTCCCCTTCTCCAGACCTCCTGTGGGTGTCCACAGGTTTGCCCCCCCAGAACCCCTGGAGCCCTGGAAAGGAATCAGAGATGCCACCACCTACCCACCTGCATAAGAGCCAGAGGACTGTCAACGGGAAGGTGGACAGACCCTAAGGAGGGTGGTGGACCTGTGTCTGCCTCTGGGTGGGGCTTTCAACAACTTACTGAGAAGAACTCACTGTGTGACCACGGGCAAGCCTGGGGCCCATTTGGGGCCTCAGTTTCCAAACCTCTATAATGAGCTGATTAGTGTTTAAGGCACTGACAATGCTGCTCTTGGTTTCTCACGGGAGAGCTCCGGGCAAGGGGGAGGTGGTCACTGACTGTGCCCCAGGACCTGAAGGAGAGCTGAGTTTTCCTAAATGTGTCTGAGGAGCAGTGCTCACTCCTACCCCACACCCCTGAGCAAGCCCTGAGCTCTTTCCTCTCTCTTGGGGCTTGAGCCCAAGGACAAGCCCCATGGCACCACCAGCCCCTCTCTGCAGAGGGAGCTCCACATGGAGAATGCACCAACTCAGTCTCAGTTGTAAAGTCCCAGGGTCTAGACACCACCTCAGCCAGGCTGAAGCCTTAAGTCACACCAACACGACTGGGACAATGACTGCCTTTTGAAGCACTGGACTTGGCAGTTTACCCAGAACAAGTATATTTACTGTTTATTCAGATTTTGAAATAACCCACTGTCCAGAACACTCTGTGGCAATCACTAACAATGTTCAGTATCAGTATCATAGCTCACTGAAATCTCAATGAGGGTTTAGAAAAATGTTACTTTGAGAATTTGGGTGTCAGCTAATATAAAAAACTACAACTACCACCCTGGATGTCTAGTGGTTAAGAACATGTTGTCCACTTTTAGAACATAACTGACTGTTACTAGAATACCAGGGTGTTAACTGTTAGAACACTGGCTGTCACTGAGAGAACCCCAGGCATTCTGAACATTCTGTGACTGTTACTTAGAATCCAAAGGATCAAGTGACAGAACATGGGATGACATTGTTACAACCCTGGGGATCAGGGGTTTGGAGGTTAGGGTGTCCACTCTACAGAAGTCTGGGTATCAGTTGTTACAATGCTGGCCATGAGCTGTCAGATCAATGGCTGTTTGGAACATGGAGTTGTCAGGTGTAAGAATCTGTGGATTGCTTAGAACAGCCTATGGGGTGGCAGTTAAGGGAGGAGCTGTTGAGAGAGGAGGCTGTTGCAGAGAGGGTGGTTTCTACCAGGGTAGTTACAGTGGCAGTGACAGGACGTGATAAGACTCCAAATTTATTTTTTTGAAGGTAAAGTTGACAGGATTTGCTGGAGAGAATTGGATGTGAGCCACAAAGGAGTAAGAGGAATCGTGGATAATGACTAGTTTTGGCCAGAGCAGAGAAGGGAATTGGGTACTATTTATCAAAATGGGGAAGACTAGGGCAAGAGCAGGTTTGGGCAAAAGAACAGTTCATTTGGGCCCATGTTAAGTTTGATGTGTGGATAGACATCCACGTGGAAAGGCTGGGTAGGAGGTTGGCTAGAAGGGGCTGGAGGCAAATTGGTCATCAGCATGTCACTGGTGTGAAGCCCTGGGCCTGGATGAGAACAACATGGCAGAGAGAATGGTCAGAATAAGACGAACGGAGGGTGGAGGCCTGGGCACTCTCACACTTAGGCCTGGGAGAGAGGGAGGAGCCAAGAAGGAGGTGGCAGGAAAATCAGAAGAATGGGGTGTTACAGAAGCCTCGAGACGTAAGCTATTCAAGAAGGGGAACATGGCCAACCATGTTGGGGGCTGCTAGGGCAGGTAAGACGATGACAGAGACTTAGCAGGGTGGAGGTCATTGGTGACCATGGCAGGAGTGGCTTTGGTGGTGAGATGGGGACAGAAGCCTCAGCTGTTCATAACTTCAATTCTTGGCTAGAAGATCCCTGGCTCTCCTGGTAAGATGCTAGATGTAGTTTAGTGGACAGTGCTTGAATATCAATGTTAGCTGCTGCCAAGAAGTCAAGCAAGGAAGACAAAAACAATCTGTAGAGATAGAGATGAGAGGCCTGCTGTGACTTTGGAGAGGCTGGGTGGAGGTGGAGGGGAAGAAAATTTGTTATAAAGTTTTGCCTGAGGGAAAGAGAGATAGAATGGTTGCTGGGAAGGTGGGGGGGAGAGGGTAGGTTTGGATCTAGGTGTGTTGAAGTGTTGTTGGAAGGACTGATGAAAGCGAGTAGGTGGTGCTCTGGGAACAGGCTGGGACAAGAGAAGGAAGCAGAGGAATAGGCGGTCCCTAATCAACTGTTACAAGAATAGTCATCCTAGGCATGGGGCCAGCAGAGAGGAAAGGTGAGGTGGCCGGACAGCCCATGCTCCATAAATACCCCAAATGTCCACACAGTCCAGGCACTGGGCTGGGTGCCAGGACTCAGATGAATCCACCTCCACCCCTGCCCTCAGGGACATCGCAGTCACTTGGGGAGAAAAAGAACCAATTGAAATAACTCCAACCAGCACTACCGTCAACAGTGCATAGAGCTTTGGGAGCACAGAAGGAGAAGTGAGCAGAAGAGAAGGCACCACTTGAGCTGGGCCTTAACAATGAGTAGGAGTTTGCTGGGCAGAGCAAAAGGCATTTGGCAGAGAGGACAGAGGCAGAGGGGCTTGGAGGTGGGAGGCAAGGGGCCATATGTAACTGGAGCAGCGGGTGGCTGGAAAGAAGATGACTGGATGGAAAGGGTCTGGGTCAGTGTACGTGAACTTGGACTTTATCCCGAGGTAGTGGGGAGCCGAGGATGGTTTTGTTTTTTTTAATTGTTGTTTGTTTTTATTGATACATCATAGTTGTACATATCAGGGACCATTTTAAGAAGGGGAGTGTGACATGGTCAGCCAGAGTGTGATGGGCAAGTTGGAAAAGGTGTGTGAAGAGGCTGGGGCACTGTCCAGATCAGAGGTGCTGATGGCCTTGACAGGACAGCAGTCCTGGGGACAGAGGAAAGGAACCATATTCTTGAGCTGTTTCAGAGGCAGAAGGGAGACTGAAGGGAGGGTGGGGCGTGAAAGACGGAGGCACCGGGGACTCCCGTAACAGCACCAACAGTGTCTCCAACAGGAGCTGGGAATCTCTCCCCAGCAGACCCGAGGGGTGAGGCGCAAGGCAGAGGGAAGGTTCCAGTGGAAGCCAGCCTGCTTCCCAATCCTGGACCCTAAGGCTAGTGGAGGCCTCTTGGACATGGACACACACCCACGCGCACATAGGCTGCCTGGATTTTGCTTTTGGTTCTATCCCCTCACTGCGGAACCTGGGTTGAAACCATTTTCCCCATTTCAGCGGCCGCAACTCACATCGTGCCTGCAGGTGTCTTCAGGAGCCCCGGGGGCAGATAGCCTTCATATACTTTAACACGCAGAAGCCATACCAGTGGCTGCGCTTCAGTGAGGAATGTCTGTACCTGAACGTGTACGCGCCAGCGCGCGCGCGTGGGAACCCTCTGATGCCGGTGAGTACTCGGTCTTTGACTACCCGCGCGGTCCCACTCTGCCACCCCACTGCCCCGCTCAGGCCTCGGCCTTCCTCGCCCAGGTGATGGTCTGGTTCCCGGGAGGCGCCCTCCTCGTGGGCACCGCTTCCACGTACGAGGGCTCCGAGTTGGCCGCCCGCGATAAAGTGGTGCTCGTGTCTCTACAGCACAGGCTCGGCATCCTGGGCTTCCTGAGGTGGGCGGGGCCGGGGCCAGGGGCGGGGCCTCCTCAGGACCTCAGCTCAGGCCCGAGGTGGAAGGGAAGGGCGTGCCCTATGGGGCGGGACAGCTTGAGGAGCGTGGCGGGGGCAGGGCCTGATGCTTGGTGGGCGGAGCTGGCGCCCCATTCTGTCTCAATGGGGCAGGCCTAACTCTAAGGAAGGGGGTGTGGTCGCAGGACTGGGTCGCAGAAGGGCAAGGTGGGGCGGGGTGGGAGCCCTACGCCCCCCCCACTGTCGAGGCCCGGGACCTTGACCGTGAACCCCACGCGCCCAGCATGGGGTACAGCCAAGCCCGCGGAAACTGGGCACTGCTGGACCAGGTGGTGGCTCTGCGCTGGGTGCAGGAGAACATCATGGCCTTCTGCGGAGACCCAGGTTCTGTGACCCCGTTTGGCCAGTCGTCCGTGGCCATGTGCATCTCAGGACTGGTGAGTGCAATGCTCAGAGGGGCCCAGCACAGAGGCAGGCCACCGTGTTTCCACAAGTGTATCCTTCGCTGCACAGGCACATGTGCAGAAATGCGTGAACATGCCTGTTACAGACCTGCCCTCAACCCTGCCAAGGCCACCTCCCCTCACAGCCAAGGGTGTCTGCTCCGTTCACCCATAGCACTGATGGGAAAATCCAGCCCCAGGAAAGGCAGTGCTGAGGCTTGGCATAGTCAGCACCTCCTGCCTCCCACCTTCTCCCAGAGCTCTAGCCCAAGGACAGAGGCCATCATCTGCCCTCAGGGTAGGGCTGGGCCCATAGGCCAGGCCTGAGTTGGAGACAGGGCTTTGCCTCTGACTCCTGGGCGACTGCTGACATGAAATGTGCCTGTAATGTGGGTTAAGGTAAGGTGCCCTGTAAGGGCCACTTGGCTGGGAAGTGAGCACATCACACAGGGCCTTGCTGGCCACAGTAATAATATTAATAATACACTACACCTGAGCACTTTCTGTGTGCCAGGCATTCTTCTACGTACCTTATGCATATTCATTCATTTAATTCCCTCAATAGTCCAAAAAGAAAAGTATTGTTGTCCTCATTCCACAGATGAAGAAACAGGCCCAGAGAAGTGAAGCAACTTTATCCAAAGTGTGCCGGAAAGCAGGGAAAGGTTTCAAGCAGGGAAATGATACGATCAGATGTGCACTTAGAGAGAAGGCTCAGTCTGCTGCATGGGACTGGGTTAGTAAGAAGCGGGAGCAAAGACTTACAAACCAACTGAGGAAGGGTAGGGTATATCCCAGAGGAGATCACAGGGCAGCTGTCCTGGGGATGGAGGAAAGGAGCTGATTCTAAAGCAGAGACAGGAGGGATAAACAGTAGAGCATGGCTCAGAGTGATGCAGGAGGCCAAACGCACAGGCCTGGAGCAGCTGGGTTTCGGGAGAAGAGATAGGGAAGGCTGAGTGGGTGGTGTGGGGTAACAAATGCCACCCAGATAGGAATTGGCTGGAGTAGGTTTGGGGCACATGAAGTCTGAGGTATCCAAGGGACAGGAGGCCCAGGATGTACTTGTTCCCCAAACTTGGGCAATGTACAGAGGCTAAGAGCCATTAGCACAGGTAACTGAGGCTGCGAAAACCATGGGGTTCCTCCCACCTGCCCCTCATTTCTAGCCCCAAAGCAGAGAGAGACCTCTTCCCTACACTAGCAGATACTCTCCCACAATCTCAGATCCCCTCTGGAAGCCCTGGGGCCCACTGCACAGACTAGAAGCAGGAAGGCACTGACTGTATGCCTAGAACACCAACCTAGGACTCCTGACTTCCTCCCAGCTGCTTGCCCTCCCTGAGTTCCCTCTGGCTGCCCAGCCATGACCAGACAGATACCCAAAACAGCTCAAGTGGTCCTACATAGGCATCTCATGGGTGCCCTGCTCCCTACCATTACAGATGATGTCAACCCTAGCCCGGGGTCTTTTCCATAAGGCCATTTCCCAGAGTGGCACTGCTGTACTCAAAATCTTCATCACTCCTGACCCACTGAAGGTGGCCAAGGTGGGTGCCTCTCCTCCCCCAGGGCTCGGGGGCAGGATGGAAACAGCCCCAAACTTCTCTGACCCCTACCCCTTCTCTCTACAGAAGGTTGCCCGCCTGGCTGGCTGCAACCACAACAGCACACAGATCCTGGTAGCGTGCCTGAGGCCACTCTCAGGGGCCAAGGTGATACACGTGTCCAAGAAGATGGTAAGTAAAGCATTCCAGCTGCCTTACCTGGCTGCCTGCTGGCCACCCTCCTATCCCTACCTAGCTGACCCCAGCTACTTCCCCAGAGACCCTGTTGCAGGAGCACATTGGGGAGACTTCCTGTACCTCTGATCCCTTTCTCTCCTACAGAGATTCTTCCACCAGCACCTGAACTCCCAGGAAGACCCAAGAGAGGTGAGCAGGCCACATTTTGCAATTCAAGTTTTCTTTTCTTTTTTCTTTCTTTTCTTTTTCTAGAGACAGGGTCTTGCTCTGTCACCCAGACTGGAGTGCAGTGGCACGATCACAGCTCACTGCAACCTGCAACTGCTGGGCTCAAGTTGTCCTTCCACCTTAGCCTCAGACTCCTGGGCTCTGGAGGGGGACCTGCTGAGCTGGGTATCCAAGGTCACAGGGACCCTGGGAGGATATGTGGAAGGGCTGGCTGGAAATGCCCCTTGCTTTGTAGATTACATGGTTCATGAGCCCTGTGATGGATGGTATCGTGTTCCCAGATGATCCTACGGTGCTCCTGACCCAGGGGCAGGTTTCACCTGTGCCCTACCTTCTGGGTGTCAACAACATGGAGTTCAGTTGGCTCTTGCCTTATGTAAGTGAGTAGAAGGGGTGTTCACTACAGTAAAGGTAGCAGAGGATGCCCCTTGGGCAGTGCTGGGCACCAGGTCAGATACCAGTAGCCCCTCCCCAAGGGATGCCCATGTGTTTGGGAGCCTCCTGTAGTGAGAACTGGCCAGGAATGATGGAGGGGAAGAAGGGAGGAGTGTGGCCTCTTGGAGGTTTGGGGACCCCAAATTCTCAGATCATAGTTTAGATGGCTTATCACATCCATTCCCAAGCCTCCAGGCAACTGCAAATCCTGGAGCCCTCCCTTGCTCCTGGGTCAGGGTAGATGCCCCAGCTCAGGATGCACCCCACCACCCCAGCCCCAGCCCCACTTCAGCTCTGTCCCAGGTGGTAGTGATGGACAGGATGGAAGCAGAAGGGCAAGAGAGGGTCATGGGCCTTTCCTGGGCTGTGTGCTCTGTCTGGGAAAGACCCTTGGGACCTGGTGTAGCTCTAGCCAGAGTCCTTCCATATGCTCGGGCCTGACTCACATCTGGGTCCTTATCTTGGGAACAGGTCATGAAGTTCCCTCTAAACCAGTGCACAATGAAAACAGAAGCCATCGCCAGGATACTCTGGAGTAGCAGCACCCTGTGGGTGAGGGCTGAGCTGGCAGGTGTATTCAGTTTGGACAGGGCTGACCCCTTTTTTTACCTAGTAGCTACTCTTTGCAAGGGGCTTTCAGCCAGGATAGAGATCTTTCTTGGAAGGCCTGGGGTTTAGCATGGGATCAGATGGCTGCTGATGGACAAGGTCCCCCAGGCATCCTCAGGGTCATGGGAGGCAATTATGTAGCAAAATCAGGGGTAAGAATCAACAGAGAGGGAGATCTTCCCAGGAAGCCCCCCTTTCTCCTTTATCCAGGCCAAAATCTCCTGGGGGCACTGAGCCTGGGTCCAAGTCACTGGGGGGCCCACCTCTGGCCCAGCTGGCACCCAGGCCTCAAGGTAGGTGTGGCCTCCCCTCCCAGAATATCACCAAGGAGCAGGTACCACTTGTGATGGAGGAGTATCTGGGTGACATCGATGAGTGTGACTGGAAGATGTTACGAAACCATGTGATGGACCTATGTGCAGATGCCACCTTTGTGTACTTTACTCTGCAGACTGCCTGCTACCACCAGGGTATGTGGGGTCCCCAAGAGTAGCTATACTGGCCCAGCCCACTCTACAGCTGTGCTGCTTACCAACTGGGCTTACCAGCTGCTCACCCACTCTCTCTGAACTTCTGGGCTGGTGTACGATTTCAAGATGCCACAGAGGAGGCAGCATGCTATTAACTATAAGGGAGGAAGGGCTGTTCCTTAGGGACAAGGGCAGAACCTCAGCCAGCCCAGAGGAAAAAGTCTAGTGTGGTCAGGGAAGGCTTCCTGGCTGAGAGGACAAGCCTAGGGGCACCTTGAAAGTCCTGCCCAGGCTAATTTGGGTTTGGGGAACATGTGGTTAAGAGGTCAAAGGTGGGGCTGGAGAAGGCAGACACTCAAGACCCTGAAATGCCAGGCCAAGAAAGGAAGGTTCAGAAGAAGGAAAAGAAGGCTTCCATGATCCTTGCCACAATGCCATGAATTAGGTTTTAGCACTCTCAGTCTGCAGTTGAGGAACTGCAACTCAGAGAGGTTGAGTAACTTGCCCAAGGTCACAAAGCTAATGAATAGTACAGACAGGATTCAAGTCTGCTCCCTGATTTTGAAGCCAAAGCTCTTTCTCTTGCTTGATGCTGGTGGGTGGGATCCATGGGGGTGGGTGGGAAGCCCAGGCTGAGGCTTTTCCTGTAGTCTTCCTCAGTTTCCCTCTCCATAGATGCTGGCCTCCCCGTCTACCTGTACGAGTTTAAGCACTGCGGTCCTAAAGGCATAATTGTCAAACCCTGCACTGATGGGGCAGACCACAGGGATGAGATTCACTTCATCTTTGGGAGCCCCTTCTCCAAAGATGCTAAAGCCCCACCTGACACCCCCACTGGGTGTCCCATTTCTCCACCTCTGTATGAAGACCCAACCTCACCGTTAGCTAGCCACAGGGAGTTAGCCAGTTCCTAATCTGGGTTGCTCTCCCAAATGAAACTCTTCTGCCACAGAGGCAGCAGCAGAGGAGCAGGGTGAGAAGTCAGCACTCCTTGCCCTGTCCTAAATGCCACATCCCATTCTGCACCTAGGCCCGTCCACAGGTGAAGAGAAGGCTCTTAGCCTCCAGATGATGAAATACTGGGCCAACTTTGCCCGAACAGGGTGAGTCTGACCCACTGACACATCTGGGCAGTCTTCCTGCCGGGTGCTAGACCCAATGGCTGGCTGCTTTGGATATTTGTCCCTGCATGTCCCACAGAAACTGTCCAGTCAGCCCGACCAGAGTGCCCCTTGTCCCTTGCCCTTCCCCAGCCAGCCATCGGATCCTAAATGTCTCTAGAATGTGTCCCTCTCTGTCCATGACGCACGTTCTTCATTTGTTCAAGGATTCAGCAGCCATTCCCTGCTGCTATCTCTTGTGTGAGCCCCAGTACTGGGAGCTGGGATTCAAGGCTGTTGTAGACACGAACACCATCCTCCAGCAGCTTGCCCCACAAAAACATGAAATGACAATCTGGCATACTGAGCGCTGTTCTGGGGGAGCACAAGGCACTTTGAGAGCAAAGAGAAGGTATCTGTCCCAGCCTGGTGGGTAGGGGAGGCTTCCTGGTGGAGTTGACATCTAAGCTGAGCTTTGGCTAGCCTTGTGACTATTTTCCTATGTCTGCATGCTCTCCTTTCTATCTGTCCTCCTTAGGACATTCGAGCGGTCTTCTGAAATCACATCTGACCAAGTCGCTTACCTGCTTTAAACCCTTCATGGCTTCTCTCTGCCTCTAGGATAAAGTCCCAGACCCTTAGCCTGGCATGAAAGGCCCTTCAAAATCTTTCCTGAGCCATCTCCTTTCCACGTCCATCTCCTTCACATACATCCTGTTTTTTTTTTTTATTTCAGCATATTATGGGGGTACAAATGTTTAGCTTACATATATTGCCTTTGCCCCACCAGAGTCAGAGCTTCAAGTGTGTCTATCCCCCAGTGCACACCACATCCATTAGGTGTGAATATACCCATCCCCTCCTCCCCTCCCACCTGCCCGACACCCGATGAATATTACTACTATATCATACACCCTGTTTTTACCTAGTGCTATACTTGTGCTTCCTCCAAAAGCCCTGGTTTTTCGTATCTCTAAACCTGACATATACTGTTCCCTCTGCCTGGAAGGCCTCACCACACACTTTCCTACTCTTTCTTAAAGATATGTCTAAATATCAATTCTGCTGCTGGGCATGGTAGCTCATGCTTGTAATCCCAGCATTTTGGGAGACTGAGACAGGAGGATCACTTGAGGCCAGGAGTTCAAGACCAGCCTGGGCAACACAGCAAGACCTTGTCTTTACAAAAATATTAAAAAATTAGCCAGGCATGGTAGTACGTACCTGTAGTCCCAGCTACTCTGGAGGCCAAGGCAGGAGGATTGCTTGAGCCCAGGAGTTCAAGGTCACAGTGAGCAATGATCACAGTCAGCCTGGGTGGCACGGCAAGAATCTGTCTCTAAAATAAAATGACAAATAACTAAATATCATCTCTGTAAAGTCCCCTTGGACCCCAGTTCCCCAGGGGAAAGTAAATGAGGAAAGGATGAGATTAGGAGGCAGGGTGAAGAGGAACATGAATAATCCTCTCTCCTTCCTCCTCTTGGATAGAAATCCCAGTAGTGGGATGCTACCCTGCTGGCCACGCTACGACAAGGATGAAAAGTACCTGCAGCTGGATTTTACCACAAGCGTGGGTGTGAAGCTCAAGGAACAGAAGATGGCCTTCTGGACGAGGCTGCATCAGCCTCAAAGACCAGAGAAGCAGAGGCAATTCTGAGGGTGGCTACACAGAGAGAGCCAAAGGGTTTATCCCACCATCCAGGCCCTGGAGAGACTGGCCATGGACACATCTGGGGACAAGAGTCCTGCCCACCCTAATCTAGGACCTGCAGGAGTTCCCTACTGCCTTCAGGCCAGAGCTGGAGCCTTAGCCAGGAATCCAAGCCTTGTTTGGGGCCCTGGACCCCCCTTCTCCAGCCTGACATCCCGTGATGCTCCCCCTACTATGTGCATCAGGTTAGCCAAGCGCTTTCACAACCACACTATGCCCAGCTCCCCAGCCTCAGGACAACCCTTTCTCTCCCTTCTCCAAGTCCTCCACCCTTCAAGATCTACTTGCAGCCCCTTCTTTTGGGAAGTCCACCCAGACTGCCACTGCCCCGTCACTGCACCCAGCTTATCATTTACCGTCCATCCTGTTCAATCCCATTCCTATTCATATTGGCCTTTGAGGCCTTGAGCAGGTTATTTGTGACATGGAGCAAAGCTTTGATAGCTCGAGATCTTCTCCTCCACCTGCACTCATCTCCCCCAGGGCCCCTCCAAAGCCTGCACACAGGGATGGTCCTCAATAAAGACATGTTGACTTGACCTGAATTTCTCTGCCTATAAAATTGTTGGGTGAAGTGAACGGTGTCTCAATTTGAGCCCTTGGAGGAGGGGAGCATGGCTGTCTGCCCCTTACTGGGCTGTACCTGCTATGTCCCTGCTTAGTCAAGGGGTGCTGCAGCGAAGTTGCCTGGGTTGCAAAACACTTGGCTTTTTTTTCCATGGTCTCAAGTGCACTCCTCAGGATATCAGGACAGTCACACTTGTCCATTGGTTTAGGTCTTAATGCTGCATCCAGACTCCTCACTTTTGAGGGCTACTCCTGCAACCCAACCTGGGCAGATCCCAGGCTGTCCCACAGTTCTTTTTTTGTTTTGTTTTTTTGTGGGTAAGATATACATGATATGAAATTTACCATTTTAACCATTTTTAAACATACAGTTCAACAGCATTAAGTAAGCATTAACATTCACAATGTTGCACAACCATCACCACTATCCATCTCCAGAACTTTTTTATCATCCAAAACTGAGACTCTGTGCCCATTAAATAATTAATCTCCCTTCCCTCGACCCCATGGTAACCACTATTCTACTTTCTGTCTATATGAATTTGCCTCCTCCAGGTGCCTCATATAAGTGGAATTATTCAGTATTTGTCCTTTTGTGTCTGGGTTATTTCACTTAGCATAATGTCTTCAGGGTTTATTCACATTGTAGCATGTATCAGAATTTCCTTCCTTTTTCAGGCTGAATAATATTCCATTGTATGTTTATACCACATTTGGTTTATGCATTTTTCCACTGATGGACATTTGGGTTGTTTCCACCTTTTGGCTATTATGAATAATGTTACTACGAACATTGCAGTGTCCCACAGGTTTTATGTCCCAAACTACAGAGTTGATGAGGCCCTTCATTCCTAGGGGTTCCTGAGTCTCTGGGGGCAACTGGAAGTTGCACAGACCTGTGGGATGAGAGACACCCAATCCTCCATACCCCAGCATCTAAGCCCCAAAAGCAAAGGGATGGCTGGAGGAGGGGGGAAGCCCCTTCAAGCAAACATTTATCCTTACAACAACCCTATCATGTGGATATTATTATTCCCCTTTTACAGATGAGGAAACAGAGGAACCGAAACATAAAAGGCCCTGCCCAAGGTCATAAGCCAGTGGTGGCAAAGGAGGAATTTGATCTCGTCTTGTCTGACTCACCCTGACTGACCTCCATCCAGACCTGGAGCAATCCCTGGGGAGGGAGGGTGGCCCCCAGAGGAGGCATGGCAGCTCTACTCTCAGGGGAGGCACAGCCAGAAGAATGTCCCAGGCAACCAAATAGCCACTCATCAGTAGGAGCTTGCTTGAGGGCTGGGAGTCCAGCCCCCTGAAAGATGGTCCCAGGGCAGCCAGTGCAGAACTCAACAGGGCTGAGGTCCAGCTGGGCCTGATTCATCCCAATGCCCATAGGGGATATCTTGACCTGGAGGTCCTTGGTTACTCACCCTGTAGCCTGCTGGCATAGCACCCAGGCTGGCCTAAGGCCTGCCTCTGAGGGTTCCTCATTTCTCCCCTGACAAAATTTCTCTCCTTGACCAAACTCTAGTCAGGCTTCTCTGAACTCTTTTTCAACTTGGCCTGAATTTTTAGCAAGAATACTGCTAAGTCATTTTAACCAGACCCCCTACTGTTGATATCTGATCACCTTCCATAACTAATAGGGTTCCTCATCCTCCCTCATCCCCCAGGTGATGTCTGATCACCCTGCCTGCCTTCAGCAAGAATCCCTCCTCTTATCCCTGTCCTTCCTCTTAGTAATTTTTCATCCACTGACCCCACCTTGCTCCTTGGCTATAAATTCCCACTTGCCCATGATATATTGGGAGTTGAGCCCAATCTCTCTCCCCTACTGCAAAATCCCACTGCAGTGGTCCCTATGCCTATTTCCATGGTCCTGAATAAAGTCTGCCTTACTGGGCTTTAACAAGTATCATGGATGATTTTTCTTGAACACCCCACCTCAAGGCCTGGGGAACAGAGCTTCTCCAAACAGCCACCTGCTCAAGAGGCACTCCTCCCCCACATTAGAGGAAATGCAGCTGAGCAGGAACCAGGCTCAGTCTGGGTCCAGCCTGGCTGCAGCAGATGTGGGAATCATAAAGGACTCTGGGGAAACCGTGGGACCTTCCCTAGGAATCCAAGCCTATAAGGACTCCAGTGGGCAGCCTGGCTCCATGCCCTCCCCATGCACCCAGAAAGGTGCCCCTCTTCCTGTTGGCTTCCTTCCTGGGTTGCACTGCTGGATGAGGGGGACGGGAGGGCTACCTACAACCCTATCTCCCCACCTTGTCTTCCTGCCTGCCCTCTCAGGTCCCCCATTCCCCATGGCCACCCAGAGTCTTTCCTAAAGCTGCTGCCAGGCCCCACCCCGGGGGAGCGGTTGGCAGAACTGACTAGATCTTGGTGACGGCCCGCTGACACTTCTGTGGCTTACTCCCACACAGCCTCCCCACCCACTGGGTTTAACCTGGTTTGCCTGAGCCGTCGCTGAGACAAATGCGCGTGGGTGCAAAGCCTGCGTGTGCCCCGTGCCTCCTGCCCGCCTGGTGGCCCAAGTCGGGCTGAGCCTGGCTCCCGGCTCCGGAAGCGGCGCCCCCTCCTCTCTCCCCGCCACTCCCCCACCTTCCACCCAGTGAAGCAGCAATTACCGGCCAAGGCGGCTGGGAAAGGGCCAATTAGTGCGGGAGACGTGGCCCCTCCACGGGGACCCTACTGACCACGGCCCCTGCAGAGCAGCCGCCGCCGCCTCAGCTCCCCGGTTCCCGCCGCTCACCGGCCGCCCCCCCGCCGCAGCCCTCCCAGCCTGGCAGCCCTCCCTGCCTGGCCGACAGCGCCGGCTGCCTGGGAGCCCCGGGGACGTGCCGTCCGGCCTCCCGCCAACTGCAGTCATGGATCCAGCCGCCTGGCGCCGGCCCAGAGCCCAGGCGGACGTGAGGGCGCCGAGAGCTGAAATTCGCCGCCACTGGGTAGTCGGGGAGAGCGGACCGGGACCCTCCCTACGAGGGCTCCTGCGCCTCGCAGCCCTCCATCAGTCGCCCCCCCAGGCAGGGGCGGGCTCTGCCCAAGACCTCTTGCCTTCCCATGGCCCTCCTCGCTTCTTCCAGACCTCCAAGGCCCGGGTCTGGGCTGACTCGTGGCTATGTCAAGGCCAGGCTTTGGAAACCCATAGCCGGTGCCAGATCGTGCCCTTGCGGCCGGGAGGTGGGCAGGAGAGTTGGGTGGGCAGTACAGGGCCACGGTTATTCATCCCTGGGAGTGAATGCATGGACTTCCTCCCCTAGGTCCCTGCCCAGCACAACCTGACTTAGCCTCCTGTAAGTTTTGGTCTTGCCTTCCAGGAGTCTACAGTCCCCAGGCCTGGGGGATCTCAGCACTTACCCACTATGCCCAGGAAAGGCCACTAGAGGGAGTCCAGTCCAGGGCAGAGGCACAGACAGGGCCGAGTGCTGCTGGGGAAGCCCCTTCATTACCACCACCCCTTGGAAAGCCAGTCAAGACAGCACTCTAACCTCCTATCACTAGCCCTCTGTAATGGCAATGACTCCATGGCCATGAGGGGTTGGGTCTGGGTCTCTTGTTTGGGGAACCCATAGGTAGGAGGGGGAGGGCCCATTCAAGCCCTGAAAGAGCTGGGCTTGATTGGGCTGTGATCAGATGGTCCACAGAGCAGGGTTCAGCATACCTCCTTCGGGTAGAATTTGGGAGCTGTGTGTTCCTATCTGAGCCTGTTCCTCTATGTGCAGGCCGCTTGCCTCTCTGGGCCTGCTTCTCCTCATCTGTACATTGGAGACTGTCCCTGTAGTAGGACAGGATGCTGGTCTCAGCCCCCTCTGGCTGTGGTCCAGGATTCCTGTCCACTCCCAGTCCTTTCAGCCACAGGAGCTGGTGCAGGAGCATGTTGGTGACCTCACCAAGGAGCTACAAGTGATCCTTATGGATCTCCTGCTGTTAAGGAGCAAAAATCCTTTTGAGGGGGAGCCTGAAGGTAGAAAAACAAAAGCCTTTCAGGAAATTAGCACTAGTGGCAGGAAAGTTCATCAAAAGCTGGCAGAGGCGTCCATGGCTGATTCATGTCTCTTACCCAAGGAGCAGCTCCTCTGGCCTGGGGGAAGGGCTGGTAGCCTACAGGGTCTTCCAGAGACCCCAGACCCCTGGCCCTGTTGCAGGGCCTTTGAGCACCTGGCAGGGGCACCACCATGGATTTGCTGCTCCTAAATCATAGGATTCTGCAGTGCTAGGAAAGGCTGCTGATGGGCAAGGGTCTTAGGCTTTAATACAACTGTTCCCTCTGCTGTGTGATCTTGGACACTCACTTGGCTTCTCTGATCCTCCCTGCCAGGAGAAATCTGAATACTGCCTAGCCTCTAGGTGACCAATACATCCACAATATTCAG